TCATCAGTATAGACTTTGGGGCCTCAGACGCTCTGTAGTCACAGGCTGCTGCGCGGGTTTGAACTACCTTACGGATACAAAGTACGGATACTCACTCTGCACCTGAACAGTAACCCGGCAATGAGCAGAGGGATGGATTCAGCGGCACACCATCGCCATGTTCGGCACTCTCGGACAGGGGCACTCCGGGATCAACGAAGCTGAGCCTGAGGAGGGGGAAAAGGAAGTGAAAACTTTTCAAATTGACAATTAGCTGGCAACAAGAGCAAGCGAGCAACAGTGCTGAGAGCCTGTGCAGGTCTACGCATACTACACATTGGGCGAGTCACTCTTTGCATCCGGACCGGCACCCATGACACGCTTGGCGAGAGAGAGCCCTGGACTATTTACAACCTGGGAAGTTGCAGCTGAGATGGCCTCTTCTCCTTTGGGATCCCCTGATGCCCGAATCCATCTTCGGGTCGTGTGCCCGCCGCGTTCGCGACCCCTGGTCGATACTACCAGAGAAATCTCAGGTTTGGGGCCGGACGGCAAATGAAAGCCTCAACCGAAAGAGGCGCGACCAACTGACAATCTCAAAGTGACACCTTGACAGTGAGGGCGAGGCCTGGGTCGGTTTTCGCCGGTCGGCAGCGCCAGCACCCACGAAATGACGATACGACACCGGTGTCCTGTCTTTTGGTGATCCCTCTGAGATTGGGCTTCGGAGGTACGTACCCTCGATAAGACGCAGGGCGCGATGCTCTCAACCACCTTGCAACCACTTTGCGGAGTACCTTGGCTCTACTTCGTATACAAAACGTACCGAAGAAGAGCAACATTGAGCTGAAGCGTTCCATTGCTACACGACTGCGGTTGCCCACGAGAGGTGTTCATCATCATCCGTGCAACCACACCCAAACAAAAACAAGAAATGCTTCGTCTCTTGTTGCCATGTACAGTCGTGTACGGAGTACAGGTCTCCCATGCCAAATTCACAATTCGAAAGCTAGGTCACCCTTGAGACACGCCAGAAGAAAAGACGAACAGACGAACAGACGCTGAAGGACCGGTGTCCCATGCTCCCTCGTCGTCTGGGGATGTTTTGAGAACACTTGCTTCCTTCCGGTACGTACCGCGAGAAAAGGAAACACGCCAATACGCCACCCCTACCCGCTCCAACGAATCATCATTACGAGTTTTGTCCAAATTCCGACGGGGCGGGCAGCTCTGGCCTTTCCTGCAGGGGCAAATAACGACGTTCCATTGCTAAAGTGGCATAGATCCTTTCCTCTCTCCCAATTGCCAAAGCTGGCAAGCCCACTCATCGACCAACCGCACCGAAGCAGACATCCTGGAACGGAAATGTTTTCCCCACCCAGAGCGAACCACACCTCGAATGTTTGGAAAAGCAAATATATGAAATGAGCTCAAGAGGAAACAAGAAAGGAAAAATCTGCAATAAAGAACCGACATCCCATCTAACTCCGCGCTTCATCAGTCATGAATGACGACTGACGAGTCACACCATGTTCATCACCACCAACACGGCACAGCCTCTGCCACCGACGTGTTGGAGCTCCCCTCCCGCTTCCTTCGATCCTTTTTTATCGACCACCTAGAACCACGAGAACCACTCTGCACAGATGATGGCTTGGGAGCTTTGGGTCCCTGCGCAAAGCCCTCTTCCCTTCTAGCACCGCCATTTCTCATTTCTCCGAGCTCTCGAAACCTTGGCTTCCGACTATTGCCTGAGGTCGCTTGTTCATACCGCGCTTCCCTGGTTTGCCGCTCCCCGTCCCAAGCCTGAGGTCATGTTGGTTTCTCGCGGCAGGGTTCGTCGTAGGCGCCGGCGGGGGTGCACAACTGCATTCTGGAGAACTGTCCAGCACTGCAGACCCTGGCATTCCCGTATAACATCGTCGGTCCTCTGCAAACCTTGTGAAGATGTGCATCTCCTGCTACAGCCCCATAACGCCCCTTGATGGCAAGCCTCTCGTCGTCTTGCCAAGTCGCCAGTACCCGCAGCTTCAAACTTGAAGTACCCAGCCTCTTGGCCAAGATTGGAGGCGCGACGAAGCGGATCAACCAACCCAAAGTCCTTGCATCTCAACACCCCCGTCGGTTGTTCGTCGGCCCTGTCCTTCCCCGTGTTCTGTGAATATCCCCCCCACGGTCTACTACATCGGCGTCTAGAATCACGTTAGCCTTCCTTGCCCTCTGGTGCGATCCATGGCGTCGACTCTTGACATCTTGCGAAACACTCTCGCAAGCCACCATCGCCACTTGGAAGGGCTAACGAGTGGTGATACTCCATGGAAGGTTGATGTCAGCAATCGACGTCCCACGACCAAGTGTATTGAAACAGACGCGTGGCGAGAGCAGATCGTGCGACTTGCGACTCCATGATTCCCAATCCTGCCGAGAGCATCCCATCCTACCGCCCCCCAACGTGGGCTGTCTCTGCATCGGCTGATGTTTGCGAACCGCTCGGCCACTGCAGATGCCATCCAACCCTTTGCGGGACGAAAAAACGCGGCGCTCGTGCAAATACACAGCATCATATCCCAAGCAACGGTGCCCAGAGTGTCCCACGGTGCATCTCTAGGTGCATTTTGCGAGCTAATGCGACTCTGAACTTTTCCCCGGAAACGATTCCGCAGAACCCGTGGTGTGAGCGAGATCTGTTCTCACAGCCAAATTATCCCACAATTATTTGATGATGGAGAGGTGTTCGGAAGAGGCTCTTCGGCTCGTTCAATATCGAACCGACCCTGTTGATAACGAGGCCGTCGGCCATGCACGCAGGCTCTACCGGATGGGGCCCCGATCTGTGTTGTCCAGGGCTGGCCCCATGGCCGACAGTCATTTACAAGTTTTAACCCTGTTTTTCGCCCTGTTTGTGAATTGCTGTCTCGGACCAAACAGTCAGCTCCAAATGCCGATAAGGCAGCGTCGGCAACATAAATCTCGTTGCCAAACGCCATACAAACCATGGAGAAGAAACTTCCAGCCCTGCCCTAGAGATCGCACACGAAAGACCTGATGCGATGGTGTTCTTGGAATCGCGTTGTTCCTGCAGTAGCGTCTTCCCATTTATCCCAGTTATCCATAACCCTCGGGGCTCGACTGGGTCTAAGCCCCTGGTCGCCGGAAAACCAACCAGCGAGCCGGGTTCTTTCGTGTGCTCAAAGCAGGCATGCCCCTGTCCGCAAGGCTACGGCTCCAAGAACCTCTCTACAAAGTCCGTAAGGCACCCACGGGCAACGAGCTACTGCAGCAGCATCCGGGCTCATCCGATCGACGCGCCGGCTTGCTTGTGGCGATGGCTGCTCGGTATGGGCGTTGGAATTTGACTTTGACGGCTTCAACGTTGTCGTGGTCAGACTGTCAATCCCTACGTACGTAGGTCGTGATTCAGAGATTCGAGATAAGAGAATCGATGCAGAGAGCGGAACCACATCGCCACGTTGATTATGTCTTTCGTAGTTTTGGCATCGAGGTCTTGAATCTTTCAACAAGGTACTTGAAGGTCTTGCAACTTTGGCCGGGCTGCGCTTGAGCCAGGCTACTGCACATCATGAATGCAACTGTGATTCAACCGCCTTAGTCTTGCGAATGCCTGCAAGCGTCGAAAACTGGCATCACGCTCCAAGGCCTCGTAACGTCCCAAGGCAATGGCTGCGTGCCAACTCGATATTGAGGCTCCCAGCGGTCCAGGGTTCACCACGTGCGTCAGCTCCTGCCATGGGCGCGCAGTTGTACGTGCTTCTTCGACACGGCCGAGGGGTTTGCAAGCTACGTCTGTAGTCTCAAGGTCTTGAATCTGGGCAGCACGGGAACCAAGTTGGTGGGCTCGCTGGCCACATTCCAGCGATACGTCAACTCGTAAAGGTGCCATGGCGATGTGTCCGTATGTCTCAAAGTCAGACAAATCTGATAGCTGTAACGGTGAACTACGGTACCTAGCCCGGGAGGTTAGCTGATTCGTCACACGGTCCACCAAACGGTCACATCCCCAGTGGCGTTTCTTTGTTTGCAGAGACGGCAGTCAGCACGAAGGTGTTTCTCGGATTGTGTCTGGCAGCTTTGGTGAAGCCGAATCGTCAGAAGCGAGACCGATTGCCAGCGAGGCATGTGTTACGCCATTCTAGCTCCGGCATGGCGACATAGACTTTGGGGGCATCGACGCCACCACCCGCTGGCCGGTTTCTCGGGGCTGGAATTCAGAGGCCAACAGCTCTGCCACGCACTGCACTTGCGGTGGTGAACAAGACCATGGCGGCGCCATAATCGGGAGCGGTCGCTGCGACGGTTGCCCAGCCCGGCGGCGTTGGCGGGAGATCTAGCGGCGACATGTCCAGAATAGAAAGCTTAGGCCCCGTTGCGCATCACCTCACCCAGGCGGCGGCTTGCCGCTTGCGCATGGTCCTCACCTGAGACCTGTGTGCTCCAGCTAGAACGGACCCCGACGAGAATAGACACCGGAAGATAAACAACGGGAGCCCGCTCGCAAGACTCTTCGGTGACAGCGCGCCGTCCGGCTTGAGTATCTGATTCTGGAGGTCCCTTCAGGTGGGAAACGTACGCGAACGGCAGCCGTGGCTTGCCAGGTCAAGGCGCCGTTGAAGAGGTAGGTATAGACGATTTCAAGGCCCGTGATCTCGGAGTCAAAGGTGGTTTGCTCGTGATGAGGGAACCGGGGCAAGGCTCAGATTCAGCTGGCAAGAGTCAGATCGCTGATGGAGGTGGCATTCAGCCTGTGAAGACGGTTGTCAATAGGACCATGGCCTGCTGTAGTCACGGTCTATCCCGGATGATGGATCATGATGAATGTGGTGCCATCGTCAGGTTATGATGACTAAGAATTTGCAGTCGAAGAAGGTCCCCGTCGCCAGGTACCTCAGGCCCTCTGATTGGAGCAAGACGTCACCCTGCCGCCTTAGGTAAGGAACCTAAGTCAGCCTGGAAGATACCTTGGTGAGCTGCCCCTCAACTTGGAAGCATCTGTTGCTGCGGTTCGTTGGTCGACCGATATCACTCGTGACCTGCAAAAATAAGGAACTCAAGACTCAGGAATCGTCAGTCACCAGACATCCTAAAAGCATGCCACCAATGAATGCGTTCGGCCTTTGACGCCTTTTGTTATCCTCTGAATCCTCCAAGCTCCTGTGTTTCTCAACCTCTTCCAGCTGGCACTCCCCGGGATTACCTCACACTGGGTACCTCATGCGCCACTTCTGACGCACTTTCACCCCACCTTCCCGCCTGTCACCGCATAGGTTGCTACGACCATCGCGACGACGATCCCTCGCTTCAACTGCCTGGCACTGCATCAGCCACTCGATTTATCAAGATAGTCCTTCACAAATGACATGGCACCGGACCTGAACTCTCTTCCTTCATCTCCTCCATCTCTGCCCATCCGATCCAGAATGTCATCCACCAACGGCGAAGCTCCTCTCCCTCCTGCGGCCGGCGGTCCAGCTCCCCGTGGAGAGTCCCCCGCTGGCTCGCCGCGACGGCAGTCAACCTCTCTGCAGGCTGCAGCTACGCTGAACGCTAGCCTTCAAAACGAACCGTCTCGACGTACGTACTCCCGAATGCATCGGAGAACCCTCGCTAATTGAATCAGGCTCCTCCAGCGGTTCCGTATCTCGAAGTCGACAGTCACCCAATGCTGGCCGAAGAATGTCCACGGTTCTGATGAACCTGCAGCTTAACGATCCCTCTCTTCCCGGCCCGGGTGAAATGGTCGCAGATAACCAACATGGGCAGACTGGTGCGACTACCGCTAGTCCGCAGCTCATGACAACCTCTCCCATGATGGTTCCCGGTGGTGATCCCCACCACAATCGGGCACCCAGCCTGGGAGAGCTCCACCAGGAGCTTGAAGCCGAACAGGAAGCTCAAGTCGTACGTTTGGGTCGAATTCGGACACAATGCACACGCTGACACAGCATATAGAACCGCCTCCTCCAGATGATCCGCCAGCAGCAGTTGCAGCTCCAGCAACTCCAAGCTGGCCAGGGACAGAGCTCTTCCGCCGTCGAGGACTCTGCTATCGCTTCTGAGAGATCCAACCAAGGAACCCCCATTTCGCAGCCGCCCTCTGGCTTCGCGCCGCTGCCTTCCTCGGGCTCGTTCTCGCGATCCCCGGTTGCGCCCCACCCACGAAGCTCCTTTGATATGGCGAGAGCAGACATCCAGCGCCGCTCTCGAACCCCGAGTCGCGGCGCCTCTCCCAGACTGCGCTCGACATCTATAAGCGGCGACAGCGGCGAACAGTATACCCTCGGAGGTCGAGACGAAAGTGCCTTTTACCAGGCCGAGACTCAGATGCTGGTCAGGGAGAATCAGATGCTCCGTCACCGCATACGAGATTTGGGTAAGCTTCGAGAGAGAGATCCCAGCACGCCATGTACTAACCACGCTGTGCAGAGAAACAATTGACGGATCTGCTGCCTGCAACCAGTGTTCCAGGCAACCCCAGCGAGCCTGCACACCCATCCCACCTTAGAGCTACTGCTGCCGGTGAGGAGGTTGCTGCACCCTCGACTGCGCAAGGTTCAAGCGAAGTGGCCAAGGAGGCGTGATTGGAATGTACATTTTATGGCGGACACCGGGGTATCTGGCGTTTGGGAAAACTTGCTACATCTCTCACGATTGCAATGACATGGCTTAGGCGTTGGTCGGACGGGCGGGATGGGTCCGTCTCTGTGTTATTATGAACTCCAGTATCAATAAAGGAGTGTTCACAACTTTAGATGCGGTGTTGAAGCTGTTTTCGTGATGAAAAGCCGGGGGCGATGCTGGGAATGCTAACCCGTTGGTGTATTGCATGGCTCATTAACAGATCACGACTCGAGCGTGCTTTAGCTTTGGGGCATCTGAGAAGGTGTTGAACTTACGCAGGGCAATTCTTGTCAATTTCTTCGTTGGCTGGAGCAAAAAGGTGCAGGAGACAAAAAAAACTTGGACGATCTGGGAATCGAACCCAGGACCTACCGCATGCTAAGCGGTCATTATACCACTAAACCAATCGCCCAACTGATGATGTCAGGGTTATGAGGTGCGCCACTATGTAGCAAGACGGGGTCACGGCGAGCTGGTTACCAATCTTGCAGCAACATCGTGTGTCAATTGCATTGTTTATTGTAAACCGAACGCGACCAAGGCCAAGATGTCCTCGTTCATATCGCTCGTAGACTTCCTCCCTCCCTTCAATTACCATGAACCCATGGTATATTGGTCATTGAGTCAAGCATCCAACCTCAAATCCGCAGTGAAGATGCCCTCGTCCAAACCAATTCCAAGCTCGCTCAAAACGACGCTTCCACATACCTCCTTGCCAAGATCAATGCAGAGGCATATACGTCATCAAGTTGTCCATCTATTTTAAAGTTAGGAATGTCTCTCGAGTGTTGTGTGCAAAACGCGACTGTAGAAACCCCCTGTGTCCGACCTCGTTCTCAACGCAACCCTTCCCACCAAAGTCGCCTTATCATTAAGCCGCCGAATCCATGGCATGCTCGTCCTTGAGTTGATCGTCGAGATCCAAAGTCATCAATCCCACCCGAGTGTTGTGTGTCATATGGGGCTCTGGCAAAGGCATTCACCCTCAACGCAACGACCTCGATGTACTTCCTGTCAAGCTGCCAAACTTATAGAGTACTGCTCTTTGAGTTATTCGTCTAGACCTGTAATGACAAATGCCTGTTGTGTGCCGAATGCGACTCTTCTACATCATCCCCCATCTAAGCCATCGCCCAACCTCGCCCTCAGCACATCACACTCAACTCGACGCAAGTAGCCAGACGGAAAGCACATTGGCCCTCGGGCGACTACCTCGGAAACGAAGTTGGCGGACCCCTCGAGTGCTGTGTGTTAAACGCGACCGTGGCGAACATGACGCATTCGTGGCAGAACCACCCCCAACCCCGTAATCAACAAATGGCCAAGTCCAAACCTCAAAGGCACGTCGGCGCTCAAGTTATCAACCTCTCTATGCACATGTCAATCTTCTCCAAGTATTGTGTGTCGAATGCGATGGCGGGAAACACCCGCCTCAAACCACTCGCATCTCGATGCCATCGTACTCACCCAAACACCTTGTGGGAGCGATGTCGGTCTCCCAAGGTTTAGACATCACAGCTATTGCATTCCAGTCATCACATCGAATAGGAACAATAAGGTGCCAGTAAACAACATCAATTGCGACTATTGTAAACCCGTCGGCGTCACGAACCCAATTCTGGCCTGTCACTCCAACCCGGCGATGCCTCTCAATCCAACACGGCTGAGCCTTTCAATCCAACCCGGCGATGCCTTTCAAGTCCTCCCCCGGCGATGCCTTTCAATCCAACCCGGCTGAGCCTTGCAAGTCCTCCCTGGCTGAGCCTCTCAATCCAACCCGGCGATGCCTTTCAAGTCCTCCCCCGGCGATGCCTCTCAATCCAACACGGCTGAGCCTCTCAATCCAACCCGGCGATGCCTTTCAATCCAACCCGGCTGAGCCTTGCAAGTCCTCCCCGGCTGAGCCTCTCAATCCAACCCGGCGATGCCTTTCAAATCCTCCCAGGCCTCATCCTCCTCGGCCTCATCATCACGCAGGACGCTCCCCAAAGTGAAACACTGCCATATTCTCCGATATAGCCTGCGGGTTCGTCTTCTTGTCCCCGCCAACAAACATGCCGTACTGGGCCCAAAAGGCGACATGCCCACCAAAGTACTCCCACTGAAGCCAGTGGCCCCTGACAAGAGTGTCAATGTCCTTGGTGGCGGGATCGACGGGCAATGAAGAGGTACCCATCTTGTGATAGTCGTACTTGATCAGCGGATCGGGGTCGTTGATGCGCATCCACATGGATCGCGCCTGCGTCAGAGGAAACCCTGCTGCCAGGGCCATGTCCACGAGGCACTCTTTGGCAGAGACGTGCTCCCCACGATTGCGCACCTGAAGCTTGAAACCCTTGTAGGAGTCCATGAAAAGGTTGTACCAGGACACTGTTGTGACAATCGGAGGCTTGCGACCGCGGCGAACGACGAGCATGTAGAGGATAGCTTCGGGGGCCTTGGGTTTGTCGGGCGCCTGGCAATCGTCCCAGTTGTGAGTCCTCGAGTTGCACCAAACGCATCCCCAAACGTAGCCATCTGCTTGGGGTATGACACAGTCAATGACAGCGTGGCCCTTTTCGTCGCAGTTGCAGCAACGGTATGTAGGCATGTCCGTGGCGGGCCGAAGCTGTTGAGCCTTGAACTCCACGGTAAACTCCCCATCACGTTCAACGAGCTTGAACTCGGACTCGTCGCTTTCGGTGCTGTGGATCGAGCCGATGACAGAGCCCTGAATTGGCGGGTGTGCGCTGAGATGGAGTCGCGCCTGTCGCAGAAGCTCTTTCCCACGTGCCTTGGGAGACATGCCGCATCTCGAGGAAACTGAGCTGTCGATCGAGCTTGAGGGGCGCTCGCTTCTCTTACAAGGGACGATGGCTCGAGGGGTCCGATGTGGCGATGGCTTCGTTCTCTTGATCAGGCTATTGGCCTGAAGAGGCTTGCGGTCGATTGCGGAGTTGTCGCGTTCGACACATGGGAGTCGAGGGTCCCGGGGGATCGAAGCGTTCGCGGGAGGCAGCGCTGTCGCAGGAGAGACCTGTTCGTTCGAGGGCGCGTTGTTTCGAGCCTGTCGTTCTGGCGAAGTGTGAATTTGTCGACTCAAGGGCTTGTTTCGAACTCGGCGTTCTGGCGAGGGAAGCTGTTGATCTAAAGACATGGCGTCGGAAGCTCGTCGAGTCGGCGCAGTGTCGGAAACCCGTTGGCTCAAAGGCGGGATTGAGCAAAGAGTCGATTCGCCGGGAATGTGACGCATCGTGTCTGCAGACGCCAGCGAGCTGCGCGAAGGAACTCGACGAGGCGGCGGCGGCATTCGCTCCCAAGGCTCATCCAAGTGAGACAGGGCGATCGATTGGCAGCGGTCGAGCCTCCAGGGTGTGTTTTCGAAAGATGTGGCAACAGAAGCGATCGACGCGGTGCCGGAGATTTGGCGACATCTCTGTTGAGACTGAGGATCATACTTACCTCGATGGCCATCTGTTAGTCTCTGTCGAGACGATGAACCACCGCCCTGGAGGGTCCGAGGCATATCATCCGGGAGGATGCCAAATAAAGCTCTCTGTTGAGCAGAATGGGAAGACCTCTGTTGGGACGAAGGATGTCCGCCCAGTTGGGCGCCGAAAGAAGGACTCTGATGGTCATACTCACCGTTGGAATCGCCCCGTTGGGCGCTGAGTAAAGGACTCTGATGGTCATACTTACCGTTGGAAGCTCTCGATTGAGACAGAGGTCCGCCCAGTTGGGCGCCGAAAGGAGGACTCTGATGGTCATACTCACCGTTGGAATCGCCCAGTTGGGCGCCGAATGAAGGACTCTGATGGTCATACTTACCGTTTGAAGCTCTCTGTTGAGACGGAGGATGTCCGCCCAGTTGGGCGCCGAAAGAAGGACTCTGATGGTCATACTTACCGTTTGAAGCTCTCTGTTGAGACGGAGGATGTCCGCCCAGTTGGGCGCCGAAAGAAGGACTCTGATGGTCATACTTACCGTTTGAAGCTCTCTGTTGAGACGGAGGATGCCCGCCCAGTTGGGCGCCGAAAGAAGGACTCTGATGGTCATACTCACCGTTGGAATCGCCCCGTTGGGCGCTGAGTAAAGGACTCTGATGGTCATACTTACCGTTGGAAGCTCTCGATTGAGACAGAGGTCCGCCCAGTTGGGCGCCGAAAGGAGGACTCTGATGGTCATACTCACCGTTGGAATCGCCCAGTTGGGCGCCGAATGAAGGACTCTGATGGTCATACTCACCGTTGGAATCGCCTAGTTGGGCGCCGAAAGAAGGACTCTGATGGTCATACTCACCTTGGAGGGCATCGAGCGGTATCGACGAAAGGGGGTTCTTGCCCGATTGAGCTCCGAATGACGCTCTCGATCGAGACAGAGAAGAGCCGCTCAGTTGGGCGCCGAATGAAGGACTCTGATGGTCATACTCACCTTGGAGGGCATCGAGCGGTGTCGACAAAGGGGGGTTCTCACCCAGTTGGGCGCCGCAGGAAGCTCTCGATCGAGACAGAGAAGAGCCGCTCAGTTGGGCGCCGAAAGAAGGACTCTGATGGTCATACTCACCTTGACTGGTATCGAGCGGTATCGACGAAGGGGGGTTCTTGCCCGGTTGAGCTCCGAATGACGCTCTCGATCGAGACAAGGGACGAGGAAGCTGGCCCGGTTGGCCTCCGAATGAAGGACTCTGTCGGTCATACTCACCTTGGAGGGCATCGAGCGGTATCGACAAAGGGGGGTTCTCATCCAGTTGGGCGCCGAATGAAGGACTCTGATGGTCATACTCACCTTGAATGGTATCGAGCGGTATCGACGAAAGGGGGTTCTTGCCCGGTTGAGCTCCGAATGAAGCTCTCGATTGAGACGGAGGCCCCTCTGACGGATGGTCTTCGAACCAGATGAGGCCATGGACCAGCTTTCCACGGGCGGCGCGGACGATGATGGAAATGGCCTCGGTGGAAGCTCCTGCAGAAGACTGAAAAGCAAAAAATCCATCGTCATGGTGAATGATATTGCCAGAGTCGGCCGATGGGTTAGTGATTCGGACAGGAGGGTGCCTGCTGGGGTCAAAATCAACGCGGAGCTTACCTAGAGAAGGCTCTTGCGAACCGCGGTATCCTCGAGAGGAACTGTCGCCGCGAGAGTGTCTCGACATGGCGACGGGCGATGGGCGATGGGTGATTGTCGTTATGAAGATGGAAGGGAAAAGTGTAAAGGAAAAAGTGTGGAAGTTGAGGGATGGATTGAGGGATGGGTTGTGGGGTGGAAAAGAGGAAGAGTTGGGAGGGAAATATTTTTCCAAGTAAGTTTACCTTGGGCTTGGAAAATCCGACTGCCCGTCTGAGGAAGGTGCGAGGAGGGTGGGCAGGCAGCACTCCGGCTTGGTGGCTATGGGGGCTGGGTCAGGGTTTTCCCATCACGTGCCTGATTATTCGTTTCCTTTGTAAAGTCGAATATCAAAGTGGCTAATATGGATGCCTTGGTTATTATATAAATGAGGCCGCAGCGTATTCGCATTGAGCAGCGAAGCGGCCACCGTATTACGACAAGGAAGGAGTGCTCTCCGGCGCGACTGAACCTTTTTATGTCTTCACTGATCCGCAATGTCGATTCGCGTCTTTGGCAGCAATATGCCTGTACTGCAAGTTTGGTCTCACTGCTTCCATACTCTACTACCTTGATAACATGCAGATGAAGATGCGTCTCGACCTCGCCACAGCACACCCAAGTGAGGCCCCATCATATGAGAGGCATTGAACTTGCAAACACCCCCAAAAACGTACACTTCTCATTTGGCACTCCAATCTCGATACCTACACTGGGCAGTGGTGAGTCGACCTTGTAATGGCTAATGTGTCGTTGGATCCAGGCAGACACGTGATCCGGGACCGGGCCCGACCAGCAACGTTGGTGGGGCTGACTAACACCGGCGCGGGACCCACATCAACCACCCCCACGACTTCACTTCATCGGCGGTGAATGGAATCGAGGGTCCTTGTGCACGAAAAAGTATAGACTCTCATCGTCGGTAATGGAGCGCGCCCTCCGAGCTTAGTGAAGAAATCGTATGCAACTCTATTAGACATTTGAGCGGCAGATGATTTGCCGCCGTTATAAGTATACCACCTCGCTGCCCATCGAGACTCGTTTTATGTGTACATTCCTTTACTTGACGCATCCAAACATGCTCGCATTAAAGAGTTATAAGGACAGCAATAATGTCACGAAACAGGAATGGTATCAGCACTTGTCAGGCATCTTGCCACGTGCTTTCTCACATATCACACTCTCTTCATATATAGATCCATCCACTCTCAATTGAATCCTTATTCTTATTCTCACTCATCACTTCCTAAGGACCAAACTTCAACTAACCCCCTCACACCATGTACGTCTACATCAAAAGTCCCCCAACACAGATAATGCGACTACACCATACGTAGACACCCAGAACGATGTGCATGCTTGCGAACACCCACCAGGTCTTTACCAAGGTGTCGAGACTCAAGTCGCATACAGCTTGGCTTGCTCAGCGTCACCGGGTGGTAGACCTTGGCAGACCACGCAAGGGGCGCGAGATCAAACGGCTCCATCTCAATAGGCGCCGGGCGTAACGCAGCAGTCTGGCTCGATTGCACCGAGGAGCACTGTTCCATGGTCATATGCGACTGCGCCATGGCCCTGAATTCTGACTGCATTTCGGCCCTGGTCTTCTCCGTTTCCGCCTGTAGGCGCTCGATCTCGGCCACCTTGGCGTCATGCTCTGCCTGCATGCGCTTCACCACAGCATCGTATTCCGCCCGAAGCTCGGCCACCATGGCGTCATGCTCTGCTTTGGACACCGTACTGCCCACATCACGGGTCGCTCCAGCAGCGGGGGCTGCTTCAACGTCACCCAGGCGGGTGCGCCTCTTCGACTCTCTGCCGGCGATGCGGCGAGTGATGAGGATACCGCGTTCATGAAAGTCATGAATGGTGTCCTTGTCCGGGCACCTCATGAGGTTCTTGCCAGTTAATCCACCCCAGTGGTCTCCTGTCAAGCCGCCGTAGATAGGAAGACCATGATGGTCCATAGAAGTCAAGACGTTCTCGACATTGAGAAGGTCAGTTGAGTTGGCCTTGTATGGGTCAAGAGGCCCTGGGGCCTCGGCCGCGTCGTACATCTCGACAGGAAACATCTCTTCGAGCTTGGCCATGAACCTGGAGTAGTGTGGACGTAGATGCCCCGAATCCCTGAGTCGCTTTCGCGCTTCCCCATGGATATCATGCATCGACACGTTCTGGCCGCGCTTCTCGTATATGACCTGGATAAGCATATCCCAGAATGTCTCGTTGGTCTGGTTGTCAATGTGCCACGTGCGGCGGTCATTGGTCCGCAGGATGACGGCGTACTGCAAGCCGTAGACAAACAGCGGCAACTTTTGTAGCCAGTTTGGGTGAAAGCACAAGTCGGTCAGCCGCTTGCAGAAAACACCACTCATGGGCGCCCCTGATGTTCTCCGTCGAGCCATCAGGGTGTAGACTCCATTGGAATTGAAGTGAGTATGGATGGGCGCGAGATTCGGACGAGATCACTGTTTACTCACATCACCAGCATCGGGTACGAATAAGGAGTCGTCGATGAGGGCTGGATGAGGGCGACCGAGTGCTGCCGTCTATGCGAAAGGACGACACGATGGGGAGGGTATCGCGAGAAGGTAAGGGTCTGTATTCCGAGTCCCCTCGATTATCTAGGACACCATGGATGAGCTCTCCTCAGCGCAGAATCCCGGGCAGAGACCTCCAGCGCAGTACCCAGCGTTGATCAGGGCGGTCTAATATTCAAGGACTACAGAGACTCGGCGCTTTTAATCGCGAATATGTTCCAAGCCCTGGTTCGAGCTGAGTGTGAAGCCACAGTACCTGTCTTACATTCCGGATCTTGTTGTAGAAGAATGGCTGGACGAGCGGGATTTAGTCGTGGGGGAATTGGCCGTGGATCACCCGTTCCCGAGGTAAGAGTATGCCGGAGCATGACGATGTCCGAGGCTGAATGAAGGAGGACGAGGCCAAGAAGAAACCGAGGCGAGGGCTGATGGTATGATGATGCCGGAAAGCCGTCGCTGAGCGGCTCCGACATCGACAATGCCAACATGCGCGCTGTTGTCATTCGCCTACCGTACGAATCGAAGCTCGCGCAACGAACAACGGAAACGAAGTCGATATGGTCGGCAAAGTAGGAAGATGCGCAGATGACGATCGGTGCCGCGGCCACCATCACTCGGCAAGGCTACACTCCACGACACCGTTAGAGCTCGCCCAACGGCATCGAATGCCCTCGAATGTCTTCAATGGGTGGGTTCTTCAGTACGATTCCAACTCCAGTGAGGCAGGACGCGACTAACCAAAGCAGTGTACTCGGACTCTGCATTCGTACAACGCCCAGTCGGGACGTAGGGTGTGGTTGTTGGCGTGATGAGCCGACAGCGGTCGTAGGGTATAGTTGGGCGACCACGGTCGCAGGCGGGATTGCATTCTCAATATTCCATGCAAAGTGTGCGACGTGCAAGATTCCTCGAGTGAAGTTGTCAGTGGATGCGTTATGTTGGATACTGACTACGTACCTGACATCGCCTTCCCACAACGCTGAGATTTGTCTCCCACAGTGTTCATCGCAATGCGGCCGATACGCTGGTGGCCTTGTCAGTGTCCATATTGATGGCAGAGTTGCTTTGCCGTGTTGGAGTCCTCCCATTTCCAAGGACAAGGTAACCCAAACCATACTCACATCGAACTCCGAGCCCTGACCCGTGCAATTCATATGCCATACATCTAATAGCCCGAACCCGACCGCTGACCCTAATCTATCCTGACCCGCGTTGTCGCCAAGGAGGGTGGTGATGATGTCAAGAGCCTTGCAGAGCGCTTCGGACCTTTCTGACACAACTGCTTCATCGCGCCTTCCACTTGGCTTCCTAGCCTTGTCAGCCTCGTCGGCCTCACCAAAGCAGTCTCTCGTACCTATGCAAAGGCCTTCAGCCGCCTCCGTGACATTCCGCTCCCAATTGTGGTTCTTGGTGTTGCACAACGGGCAACCCGCAAGCCAATCGGTTGTCGCATCCGGTCTCGGGCCAAGTAATTGCATCAAGATATTGCTTCGCCATGCGAATCCAATCCGTCTCGCCCTTGGACTACTCTCCCGTCTACGTATTCGACTTCTGTACATCAATGATGATGACGATGAGGCAGAGATGGCTGCATTTGATGAATTGCGACTGCAGCGGCGCGCAAGGCCAGCGAAACCGAGGCCCTTTAGCTTGCCCCGACCAGTGGCTTGCGGTTTGCCAGTTGTGCAACACCAAGCAGCACAACTGGGACGATTGCAAGCCCGCCAGGCGCCTCACTTGGAAGCAGCATGGGTGGAATGTCACAGAGGGGGCTGAGGGCGTGTAAATAGGTACGAGGTTGAGGAAGCAAGTCAGCCCACATCACGCGCCTCCATCACCGAGTCAGGCGACGCACACGAATGCTGCAAACCGATATATACGATGACCGACTAATGACTAGGTATCTATTTACAGCCTGCGCAGGTCGGCACACATTACAACGCTGGACCCTCGGACGCAGTGATTTTAATATTGTTTTTTTTTTCTCTCGTTCTCTTGTTCTTACTCTATTCGCTGTATCTGCGACAATGCAGGCAAAAAGGGGACCCCTTGCTTGATAGGCCCTTGCACGAAGGCGCGCGGGCACATCTCAGCTTGACAGGCTGGGGGAAGAAAAAGGACCGAGGTGAAGAGGCGAACGCCTCAGACTGCAAAAATATACAAGGAAGCCCGGCCTATAATCCTTTCCCCCCAGGGTATCGCCGATTTTTCCAGCCACTTTCCAACTCCTCGCATGTCGTGAAAAGACGCGATTGTGATGCTTCCCACCATCCAGCTCCTCGCCCCATGTATAGATCCTCAACACAGATACAAGATATTAAAAAATAAAAATAAAAATGGACTCGCACCAGCCATGTCCGCCCGCGACGGGGCAGGAAACACGGCGGCGCCGAGTGCGTTTGGTAATAGGGGCCGACGAGCCAACCTGAATCGACTCGCGGTAGAAGGGTATTGTAGACAAAAAGACAAAAAAAGAAAGAAATCTCTCGAGCAGATGGGCTCGTGGCCGAGGAGCGTGCCCTCTCTAAATGCCGTCGGTGGATACCGGGCAACCGCCTAGCATCTTGTTCAAACAGGATCCTCCAGAAGGGTATCGAAGCGTAAAATGGTGACAAATATGGGAAATGGCGTCTATGTCGTCAATCAGTTCCAGCCGAGGGAGTTCTCAGCAGCAACGGGGGCCGAGATGTAGGCCGTCCTTGCAGAGTTGCCCGGACCGCTTCCCCTAGTCCGGCCGCTTCCGTGGCTTTCGCGGCCACCGGCAGCTCCGTAGTTGGAGAAGTCCTGGCTCATCAGGGCACCGCCCATCATGGGCGGGCTGCCGGCACCGGTGTAGCGCATCTCGGACGAGGTGAGGGAGCTGGCGCGGCGGTGGGCCTGCTTCTTCTGCTTGTAGCGGCGGGCAATGATGAACATGGCAGCACCGTAAGCAGCAGCAACACCAACAGCTCCGATACCGATGGCGGCGGCAGTACCCTTCTGGATGGGAGACTGGTTGGAGCCGTCGTCACCGGTGCCGAAGGGGTCGTTGGGATTGTTGGGGGTCGAAGTAGACGACGAACCGTCTCCGCCCGTGGAAGTGCCGTCATCCTCCTGGCCAGGAATGATCTCAATGGCAGGGTTGATGTTCTGAGTAAGGTTGTAGACGAGCTGGTCAGGGTTGTTGTAGATGGCCGAGTTGGGAATCTTGATGTCCATGCGCAGGGTGTCGACCATGCTCTTGGGGTAGTAGAACTTGGCGAGCGTGGTGATGTAGCCGAGAGTCTGGGAAGTGTCGTAGGGGACGAGCTTGGTCATCTGGATCTGGTTGACGTCCAGACCAGCAGCGTCGGCCAAGGCCTTGGGCAGGCACGTGAAGATCTGAGCAGCGGCGTTGGGGTTCTTGCTGACGTGCTGGTAGTTCTCGCCGTGCAGGAAACCAATCTGGAGGAGAATGGTATCCTTGGGCTGCTCGACATTCGGGTCTGGACCGCTAATGACCTTGGGTAGGTCAGAAGGCAGAGGGATGGTCGAAGTCGGGGCAAGAGCCTCCGTGGGCGTGCTGAGCGAAGTAGACTGCTCAACAATGATGGTGCTGGGCAGCCAGGACTCCGAGTCAGTGATGGTGGCCGTGGCGGGGATGCTCGTGATGACGGGAGTCGTCGTAGGCGGCGGCTGAGTGACGGTCGGCGAGGTCGGCAAAGGCGTGGTCTCAATCAGGGTCTCCGAAAGAACAGTAGTGTTCACGGGAAGGGTGGTGGTCGCCGCAGGCTCGGTAGAGAGAGACTCAGTGGTAGTGGGGACGACGTTGGTGGCCGTGGCAGTCTCGTTGGCGACGGAGGTCGACGAGAGGGAAGGTGTAGCCGTGGGGACCAAGCTGTCCGCCTGAGTCGTGTTGCTGATGGTAGTGGAGGCCGTAGGCAGCTGAGACAAAGTTGGGAGCTGCGTGGTAGTCGGGAAGGTCTCGGTAGAGGTGGTGTTCACGGGGATCTCGACGGAACCGGTAGCAGTGGTTGTCGGCACAGAGATGACAGTGCTGTCGGTGATGGTGACCGGAGCGCTGGTGGTAGTCTGTCCGGCAGGGACCTCAGTCGAGGTGGCGTTGACAACATCGGAAGCGGGGAGAGCGGTCGTGGAAATAGACACGGGAACCTCGGTGGAGGAGGTGATGTTGACGACGGGCTCGCTGCTGAGAACGGGGAGACTGCTGGTGGTGGGCTCAGTAGAGATCTCGACAGAGGTCGTGGCATTGGCGACGGGCTCAGTGGGTGCCGGGAGCGACGTGGTGGGAGCGGCAGTGGCCTCGGCGGAGGAGGTCACGTTGACAACAGGCTCGGTCGGGATGGGGAGTCTGGTCGAGGTCGGGTCCGTAGGGGCCGGGAGAGCGGTAGGCGTCGGGATGACAACATCGGAAGTCGAGGCGATAGGGGTCTCGGACGACGTCGCGTTGATAATGGGCTCGGTAAGATTCGTGGGAACGGCAACCTGGCTGGAAACGAAGGAGACAATGGGATCCAGCGGGTTGGTGGGCTTGCTGCTCTCGGAGACGGCGGCGGATGTCGTCTCAGTGGAGGCGCCGGAGGTCACCTGAACCGCAGCAGAAGTAGTGGTCTCGACGGGAAGGACGACGGAGCTCTGGGATGACGAAACAATGGGCTCGGTCGCGTTGACGTTGGGAACCGCACTGGTAGCCTCGGGGTTCGCGGCCGAAGAACGCTGTGCCTGCTCGGCAGAAGTGGTGGCCTGGGTACTGGAAGTCTCGGACACGACGCCGGTGGGGGCCAGGAGAATACCAGACGAGGACGCGACCGTGGTAGCCTCGCTCGTTGCAGCCTGAGTGGAGGAAACAGCCTCGGCGCTCGAAGCAGCTTGGGTCGAGGAAACGGCCTCGGCGGTCGAGTTGGTGACCTCGACGTTGGTGGGAGCTGCGGAGCTGAGGACGGCCTCGGTGGTAGGTGCGACAGACGACGCCTCGGCGGTGGTGGGTGCCTGGGCAGAAGTGGCAGCTGCTGAGGATTGAACGGCCTCGGTGGTGGAAGCCTGCGCGGACGACTGAGCAGCCTCAGACGTGCTAGCAGCAGCAGAAGACTGAACGGCCTCTGAGGTGCTGGCGGCAGCGGAAGACTGAGCAGCCTCTGAGGTGCTGGCAGCAGCGGAGGTCTGGACGGACTCTACAGCGGTAGTCGCAGCCGCGGAGGACTGAACAGCCTCGGAAGAGGTCGCGGCGGTGCTCGACTGAACGGCGGCAGTGGTCGTCTCGGGAGTCGTCGACGTAGGCTGGGTGGTCGCGGCGGCCTGCGAGGTCGAGGGGGCTTCGCTAGAGACTGTCGATGTTTCGCTGGTCGTCGGCAGAACAGTCACCGGAGGAAGAGTAGAGGTGGGCACAGCGGAGCTTGTCGTCTCTGTGGTCTCTGTCGGGTCGAAGATGACGGTGCTTGAAATGATGACGGTCGTCACTCTGCCGTCAGGGAGGGTCGAGACTGTGGTGGAGATTGTCGTCGGGGGTGCGGATTCGGGGGCCGAGGAGATGGTGGAAGTCGGCAACGGCGTGGGAACGGTCGACGATGAGCCAAAGAGAGAGTCCGAAAGACTGGTGAGGATGTCGCCAAACGTCGAGCTGATGGAGGCCGACGTGGTGGACTGGAACGTGGTGCTCTCGGGCGCGGGGGGGAAGGTCTCCTGTCTCGTACTCGTCGAGTTTATAAACTGTCGTTTAACATGACGCGGAAAGTAGATCTTGGGTCGTTCCTGTTCGGCGCAGGCAGTGGAGGCCAGGCCGAGGGCGGCGGCCAGAAGAACATTCTTGGCGTGCATGGTTTCGTTTCCCGATTATCGTATATTCAATTGAAGGTCTTTAGCGATTGTAATGATACCAATATTGGTGTTTAGTAGATGGGGTTCTCGATTCCCATGTTAGTGTGTGCGTCGATATTCGCAGGTAGGCGCGTAGCGACTCACTTTGTCAGGGTGTTATAGAACGAATGTACTTGACAAGAAATTGTCAATGAGCGTGGCGGTTGGTAGTTGGGGTGTGTTTAATGAGTGACTCGACGAGATATCGTCGGATTGAAGTGGGCGAGGACGTCTATTGATCCGTCACGTCGGCTGAGATTATGGCAGTTCCCTTTGTCGAATGCATGGGGGAAACTGAAAGTTGTCGACACGGCGGAACCTCGACGACGATCTTCAAATGCGTCCAAAGCACATAAGGGGGCGGCTAGATCGGCTCGACGGCAAAAAAAAAAGACCCCTTTCACGGCGTGAAGAGGCGCAGGTTGAGAATCGGAGGAGGAGGTTCGACGTCGCCGGATGGATTCTTGACGGAGGCGAGAGGATGTCGAATTCGACTGTCGAAGAGACGAGGTCGGGGAAGAGGTGGGGGCGACAAGAGGAGAGCGAGCGTGAGGAGTAAAAGGGAAGGGAAGGGAAGAGAGGAAAAAAGCGAGGGTGGTGTAAAGGAATGGAAGGGGACGCAAGAAGGAATGTGGATGGACGAGGCAGCGAAGGATGGGAGATTGATTGATTGATGGAAACACACGACAAGGGACGAGGGACGAGAGACCGGGGGGGTTGATCAGGACGGACGGGGGTGGCAGCAGAAAGACCAAGAGAACCAAGCGAACCAAGAGAGAGAGGAGAGGGAGGAGTAGTGCAGGAGGAGGAGGAGGAGGAGGGCTCAGGTCAACCGTCAGGGAGGGAGGGGACTTGATGGGATGGGCCAGCATGGACCGGGTGGGTGGTGATGGGATGGCGGGTACCGACTATGCTGGAGATTTGAGGTATCGCAGCACGCGTAATTGGCAGTTCTGATACTTGTATGTAAGTACACCGACCCTCGTACTCCGTACACAGGTGCCGTGATCCAGGTTGATCGCGGTGCTGAAGGGGGGGGAAAGGGACGGGAGCTGGCTGCTGGCTTACTGGAATGGCAGGAACCAAGCCGGGCACTGCTGGCTGTGCTGCTGTAAGGCAATTACCACGTCCAGGCACAAACTCGAGGGTGTGCAGGGGGGCGTGCGGTACTCTTTTGCAGTGACCAAGGTGGTGAGGTACGTGTCTTACCTAAGACTTCCACAAGCAGTGTAGGAACGGAACGAGGTACCTGTCTACCTACACTTGGGTTGGATTTTTTTATTTTTATTTTTTCTCTTCCCGTCGTCCCAAGCGTCAACCCCTTTTTACCTCTTCACCACCAACCCATGGCACCAACGGACGACAATTCACGAGGCCCTGCAGGTGAGTCAAGGCCTAGCTGGCACAAGTGCGCACTATTCGTACTGGACCAGTGGACCTCATTTTGTGCACACGCAGGCGGCATGGCTCAACGTGTGTGGTACGACGACTGTGGTGCTTCTCCGGGCCGTCATCTTATTACTCCCACCACACCTGAAGACCGCCGTCAAGTACCTTTCCTATGCCAGCTAGCCCCGACCGGTACGAGTTATGCGTACAAGGTATTGCATCCCCCGTCAGCATCCATCCACTCATCCACGGCCGAGAAGGACAGCCAGCGTCGCCCGACCATTACGCAACTCCGCTGGGCACAGCAAAAGCCCGTCTGACTGTCCGACTCTGACTGGACTGGGTCTTGTAGCCAAACGGATGCCATTTTGAGATTTCAGACCGAAGAGCCTCGTAAAAGCCTCACCTAAACAGACAACGCACATGGACGGTGGGTTGTCGTCCGAGAGACATCTCTTCTCCGCTGTGTACGAAGTGCAACTCAGCCCAACCCTGACCAGAGCTGGGACGAAATCGTTGGATTGGGTTTGTGTAGAATGGACGATTGCCCGGAGACGAGATGAAAGACAATGCGACTCGACCGTCACGGCTGAACTCTCGTCCCTGTACGAAGTACACAACCACCGCCCACGCGCCACGAAGTAACTTGTCCGCCAGACAGTTGGAACACACACACTCACCCAGGCATTGGCATCGGCCTCTTCTGCAGCATTGCGGCGTACTGGCCAACGGGTTTGTTTAGTCGGGGCGAGGATCCCCTTTGTGAGCAAAGCGCGTAGACCCGGGATCTCCCTCCCCCCGAATCTTGCAGACGCGGACGTGTTGTATTATTTTTGGCAAGCAGACGGACTGTTGGCTTCTTGGACTGTAGTCTGTTAGACGGTGTTGCCTCGTGCGCATCTGCTTCCCTTTTCGAGAGCACCCTGAACTCGATATCGTCCAGAATAGTCGAGCCAAACTCTCGACTCTCACCGGAAAAACGCTAACATTGACGACGGTGCATGTGGCATGGCATGGTTTGGCTCTTTGATGAGTGTTGACCATGTGTTGCCCCTGTCCGCCATCACTGCCGGACGTCCATGGTGGGACGGGTGGAAAAAGTCGCGAAATGACATTGCTGTTCTGGTCATGGTCTACCGTCGAGGTCCCTCTGCCATGGCGTGCTCGTCCGTGTGCCTGTTCTAGACTCTGGTGGTTGTTGGTCGGAACGGTCAGCTCTCAGGTCGGCGGCCAGGGGAACGAGTCACTACTACGTAGCCACTCCAAGATCGGTATCCGTACTTGGTACACCATGCCTGATCACTGGCCAACGCCGTACGTACGGAGTACACGGTATCTGTTCAGCACCAGCCTGGTAAGCAGCAGCCCGGGCACTGATGGTCCGCCTTATTGCAGCACGCACAGTACTCTGCAGTAGGCCCTATTCCGTGGGATGGCGGGAAGGAAAGGTGGTGTGGAGAAAACGTCGATTCACCGTTCCTGTGCTGTGCTGTACGGTACGAAATACACCATAGCCGTTGCTGGCAAGCAAACTCGTCAGACGGTGGTTTATTGCCCGCTTTGCATTGCTTGGAGCTTGTAGCTGACTGCTGGCTGCTGGCTGTGGGCGGCACTGGTGGTCAAGTTGAGGTGCGGACGAGGTGGAAGATCCTGAGCAGCCGCTGCCCGCAGGAAATGGAGCAGAGGGGCTTAGCTTTTTCGGGGCACGGGCTAAAAATGGGCAGAAATGGCTGCCGCCGAGTACGTACCGCGCAGTTTATGTCGATGATGTGAAGTGGGGCGGATGATGGAGTAGGGATGACCCAGGCAACTCACGCACTCCAGGCCCTTGCCCGCCCTCGCCCATATCGAATACTTGCTTTTTAGGTGGCCTTTCCTGCAAAGAAGCAAGTCTCTTCCCAAGGTCCTCCCATCGGCCGTCCTGTCAACTTTGGCCCTGTTCATCCTCTGCCGGGGCTTGTTGCTCCTTCAAGGCCGTGCCAGGAGGACCGGAGAACAGGGGCAAATCTGACAAGCGAGCGCAGATCATTGGCCGAATCTCGGTGATGCAATGCTACGGGCAATTTTGCGCCGTTCAACCCCTGCAGACCCTTGCCGGGGGAGGTCACTGGGCAAGCCCGGGGGGGGGGGGGGGGGGCGCTCCTCCTTCCCAGATTCCTTCTCCAGGCTTTTCCAGGTGGGCAGTCACGTAGTAGGTACTGGCAAGAACTGGGCAGGTGCCTGGTCACTGGTGGGCGAGTGGGCTATTCCCTCCCTGGCCTCAACTTCCAAGGCACCTTCCCTTCCGTGGCCTTGCACCTCGCTGCTGTAGGCACACATACATACGCAAAAAAGGGTGCACAAACCTGCACAGATGCATGCACACATCGGCCCTCTCACTGTCCAACGAGCACACAAACACACCACACATTGACTGGACAAGAGTCAGAACTCAGAACCACCAACGGCGCAGATTCATCATCCCCCTCCAATTCCTTGCACAAACATGGATCCGTGGAGCTAGCTGAAGACATGGACAGTCCAGACCGAGTCCTGCCGTTGATCGTTGCCCTCGAGAGACCCGAGTATGATTGACGACACTTGGTATTCATACCCATACGGAGCACTGCGTACAGATGTGTCCTGGAAGAATCCCAACCCGGACGAGATGATAGTCGGAGGCAATCTGCATTTACAACGTCCTCTTGCGGAAATCCCTCGTCAACCTCCGCCCTGCAACAGTCCAACGCTAGCAGCCCACGTCTTGTGACTGCCCCAGGGTTGCAGATGGTCCCCAGGTCCATGGCAACATTGGACACACAGACGACTTGACAAACGAACACTTTTCGACCAGTCTCCTTGGCCGTGACTGTACGAATAGAATCAAGAGTTGTCAACCTCGACGCTCTTGCGGGGCGGAGAGGTACGTTGCGTTGCTGCCGTTGCAACCCGGCATCGCGCCTAAATTGATGTTTATGAGCATAATAGATTACGCCTGCCGTGCTCGGGAATAGATGTGCTCAGGCCGCCCGCCACCTGCAGTCAAGAATCAATAATGCTGTACGGTCCGGTACGGAGTAGCCCTCACCACTCGCGTAGCGTCCAATACTCCAATTCGCATGGCACCATTTCGATAATCTAGACTACTACAGTATCCTCTCAGAGGATACTTGACTCTCTCGTCAGACTCTTTCGATGTCTCATCAGAGTTGAATGCCAATGATACTGCCTTTGGACCACCCGCCATGCCAGTGCCTCTCGATTGGCATCTCAACGGCGGGTCGGCGACACGCGCGTTGTGCTCAGCACGCTCGCTTCCAACAAGCGGCGGTTGTTGGTCCCTCGATCGGACCACAGGACGATGCGGTACAAAGCGGACACTCGACCACAGGCCCCAAACCCGCTTGCTCGAGGTACCGTTCGTAGAGGGCGCTCGTACCGCTTGCTAACAGGGCTACCGTTGGAGCGACCTGATCTCGTCCCTTTCCCGTCGGCGCCATCCCTGCTCGTTTTCCACCTTCCCCATGCGATGGTGTGGATGGCTGAGAACACGCGCCCAATGGGAGCCGACGCCGGTGTCGTTAGCTTGTCTCGAATATCCCGTTGATGGACGTGGGCTTGAGCCTTTAATCATAACCGCACCAACGCACGCCACAGACGAGATTTGGAGCTCTAGCGAGACGACGATGCACAACGGCCCAGGCTCTGGGGATCTCAATACCATTAACACTCAGTACCGATTTCGTGCACAATCCGAAAGCATTTCCGATGCCTCTGTTCCCGTACAGATCGCACGATGGCGCAGCGGCACAGGGCTGGCGGAAACCTGCCAGTGCTGTTATTGTCCCAGTACCGGCAAACCGGCCGCCGTCAATATCTCTGCGACTCGTCAAGTGGGGATGGTCTCCGCCGATCAGCCAGTCACCCAAAGCTCTGATCAGAACGCGTCGGGGGGGAACAGTGGTCCAGCGAATGGTCTCGCCCTTCCTGATCAGCCGTCGAGGATCACCCTGCAACGTCCATTGATGGTGTGTTTCTCCACGTGGGTAAAGAGCAAAAAAAAAAAAAAAAAAAAAATCGAAGCTTTTTCTTTTTTTCTCTTTCTGTTTTATCCCTCTATTTGGGCATGTCCATCGCTCAATCTCTACGGGTTCGCGCACCGGGATACATGCCGGGTCAGTTGGATTGTTTACAGTTACACGCGAGTTGCACACGCGACTCCTTGCTCGAGGCCACAGGAACACTCAGACGCCAGCCTTGGGACAACTTAATCGGCACAAAAGAGCCCCATCATCTGTTCGGGACGGAGTACTGGCTTTCGAAGGGCTTCGATGACCGTGACACGAATCCTCTATCCGAGTCTGTGGAACTCAAGCCCAGGGCTCGGAATCAATGGCCAAGGCCCATGTCCGGTTCTCGTCCTCGTCCGGTGTCGTCACAGATGCAGGACAATGTTGGTGGCCCCCAACTTCCAAGTCTTCTCTCATCGGATCCTGAAGCAATGCCCTGAGAGAGAGGAGGGAATGAGGGTCGGTGGAACAGCGCTCCTGAATACACGACAGATTGAGGCTGTGCAGCAATCGCACGCCTTGTCTCTCTGCCCTTCTGAAGTTCTGCCACAGCCATGTCCGTCCCCAATCCTCGCCTATCCGCAAGTTGCCGTCCGGCCCGTCTCGTGTTGTGTCGCGTCACATTGTCGAGCTTGAAGCGGCGGTGTCATCAACGTGCCAGAGTGTCTGTTCCATCGGCACCCGTCACTCTAGAAGCCTTGGGCTGGAGGCAAGCATCGAGAAGTCATATCAATCGCTGACGGCACGGTATCCGTACGCGGTACTCCTCTGAAGCTGCCGCTCCGGCGCCGAGTCCCGGTGGCGGTTCCCGCCCCAACGGCATAGACTGTATCGTCCCTCTACTTCGCGCGTGCCACCATCACTAGCGAGCGGACCGGGCTGAGTCAAAATAGCGCCAAGACATGCGCTATTGCTGGTGCGTCAGGTACTCGCTGTACGGCGTGGGCGTGGCTCGCGGGCTAGCTCGAATAGCTTCGTGCTCTCATCCCCAATCTCCAAGGAAAGCTCCAGGTCCAAGAGTGACGAATTTCAGTTCCTGGCGGCGTCCAGGGAGACGCTATGACCACGGCATCAGGAGTTCGAGACCTGTTCGTCACCACCAGCGTCTCGACCACCCACGCAACGCTGTGTCTTGCTTCGAAATGGCTTCGAAATCGCACTTCTCCTTTGTTTAGTGCGACCTGCCCTCTCTCCCTCTACGGATGGGCTCCCGAGGCTTTGCCGCACCTGAGAATGTGGGCTACACGTAACATGCTGGACAGCTGGAAAATCGAATTTGGGGACCCATCGCAGCATTTTTCCAACGTGTTTCAAGATGAGCTGGGGAGTGCTTGTCAGTCTCCCTCTGAAAGTGAAGGGGGGTTGTTTACCTGCCGATCATACTACTGCCCACCGCATCATATTACCGACCAATGTCTTCCGTTCCAAGCAGACAATTCCTCGCTGTATTTGCCATATTATGATCCTCGCGGTGTTTGACCATGTCTCTAGGATGTGAGCCGCAGCCGTTCGCGGGATTCACGGGAATCTGCGGTCCCAGGTAAGATTGATTTGACATGAGATCAGGACTGACATGGCGAGCCAGGCATTCTCACGCATCGAGTCTTCGTCCCGTGCTTTCCTTCGCACGTGCTCCCGCCCGTTGAGCACTGCTGAGCCGATTCGCGGGTGATGCTGCACAGGTGTCATGTTTGAGATGTCGGGATGAACTCTGCGGCCCTCAACACTCGCAAAGACCGAGTCGGGCTCTACCTGCGTGTTTCAACATGACACCAGAGTATGATGCTGGAATGTGATGGGAATGAGGGATTCCGTCGCAGGCTCGTCCAGAAGGCTGCCGTGGCACCGGACGCTTCAGCCACGTGTTTCCCTGTTCTCGTCTACGTGCGAACTTGTCGTATTCGGCCATAGCACCACGGATTTCTCCTGCGACGCTCTGTTCAGCCTGTGGCATCGAGGACTTCAGGGGCAGGGATCTCATCATCACAGCGTGTTCGTCAGGCACTCTACATCCTGCGACGCTCGTATCAGGTATGCTATGCACTTTGAATTGAAGGCGCCCACGGATAGCCTTGCCGGCTTGTTAAAGACTCGGGATCGAGAAGACGGTGGCTCGCCGGAGCCCCCGGTGCATGTGGGGATTGACGGAGCGGAGGACCGGTCGGCTCAGGGCCGTAGCCCCGGTACCTGCCCGGCAAGGTGTCATTCAGACTACCGGAGCCTCATTGCCTTCATCTCGGCAGGACTTTCTGCCGACGGTGGTGCAGCTGCTGCCGCGTATCACCTGTGATGATGAGAACAGACAACTACCTCCAAAGCTCAGTGTCGACACTTTTTATGGCATTTCAGGTTTGTGGGCAAGGCCGACGGTTGTCAATGTTGAGCAGTTCATCATGATCATGTGACCCTCGACAAAACTACACATCATTCGTCTCTCGATCGTGACAGAATCCGCTACACTCGATCATAGTGCACCAGCTTGATGCGAAGAAAGAGCAAACCATATGCAGATCGGACGGTATTGGGAAGCATGAAGATATATACCTGGTCGAAGCTGCAGCCGCCGTGTCCAGCATCCATTACACGGCTTGCGAAACCACTCATTGGTGAGAGTCCGCTGCGCTGGAAAGTTCACCTGGCTTGCTTTCTGCAATGCATGGCCACTCTTGGTCTTCTTTCCTTGACGACTGGTCGGGGCCGGGTCTGCAGGATGTATTTCAGCGCGAGCCCGTGGAGCAGTTCGGGATCCTGTCAGTCTAACCCTAGATTGACAACGATGAATGGCGGGCTCTTCGCAAGCATAACCAGAACGGTATTGCGAAAGCCGCGAAGATGCATATGCAGATGGAGGACGGATATGAGCAGTCACATTGTATGCCCGCCGCCCCAAAGACCAAGGACCAGGCAGCATTTGCGTCGAGTTTGACGCCTCCACGAGAAAGCCCCAGCCGGCCGAAATCCATGTTTTCTTTTCTTTTTCTTCCGTTCGTGTCCCGGGACGGAATGGAGGCGGTTGGCAGACGCAGCGGGGATGCGTTTCCTGTCATTTTCTCTGTCGGGCCAAACGTCCCCCGCCATTTTGTGGCAGGGCTGGATGGCGCCGTGAGGACGCCAGCGACCGAATACCGACCGGCCGAGTGGCCGAGAAACATACTGGGCGGCATTTGTCACTGTTGTTGTTCTGGGCTTGGATGCCGACGACGAAATCCCCGGTTGGCGTTGGACGTTGACGAGTGGCGGCGGCAGCGAGCGACCACAGGTTGGTTGGACGAGCGTTGATCTGCGAATAGCGCAGTGGGATGGAGGGGCAGCGTAGGGCCGGGAGGTGAGAACTGGGGCAAGCCGCAAAGCCGCAACCCCTCGTTCGCAGGCTTGCTGCAGGACGACGTATTAGCGCTTGGACGCTAATCTGCCCGAGGGGCAATTCCCGCACGTCGCGATGCAGCCTTTTGACCAAGGGGACGACGGGAGGTGGGAAAGGGCTGAGATGACCGAAGCGGAGAAATCGGGCAACAGCAATGGGCGGCGGCGAGGACGGTGACGGTGGTGACGATGACCAGTCAGAAGCGATGGAGACCCGGCGGAACCATGGATTGCAGCGGCGGGATCAGCGCGAGTGGCCGAATCTCGACGGCTAACTACGTTTGGGGCTTTTCCAGACGTGGGAGAGCCGGATTGACGGGATGTGCTTGGGCGGTGAGATGATGTGACTCGCATCTCAGGTACCTTGCTTGAAGGTGAGCAACGCGAACAAGATTGAAGTATTGAGGTATGCAAGCCACAGCGTGGTCGTATCGTTGACCTTTGGTGTAATTGCCGCCATCCCAGCCGGGGGTATGGCAGAGTTGCCAACTTTTTGTGTGATTTTCTAATCATAATATTCCGAGCATGTAATGACAGGCGGGACGGAACGGATGTATCCTCAGCATTGTAAAGCTGATGCAAACCGACAAAGCTTCTTCCAGGTACACGCGGTCCAACCAGACATTGCCCGGGTCAGGAAACCCGGAAAGGTTACGCGCAAGGTGAAGCGAGGACTCGAGGTTAAATCAGGTCGTTGAGGGTGTTGAGGAACTGCCCGCTGCGCCTGCTGCTCTGACAGGCGGCCCTGACGTAAGGCACAGCCGGTTGTTTGGCGGGGTCGGCAAGGTACCTCTGCTCGCCTGGGGCGGGGACCTTTGGCTTCGGGATCGCCCATCACGACGGACTTTGTTTCTGATAACGCTACCCAGGCGAGGGGTAGACTTTTCGGCACGAAGCAGGCCAAAGGATACAACGTCTGAAAGTCTCCACGACCAAGGGCCTGGGTTCGTCATCGTCTCCCTTGGCTGGGGCGGCAAGTACCTTTTTTTTTTTTTCTTTTTTTTCTTTTGCTCTTCCTTTGGCTTGAGCACCTCACCCAGGGCACGCAACTGCAATTCGAGGCGATGCGCGCCAGTCGACCTCCCACCCCCGATTCCTCAGCTTGTCGCAATGCTTCTTTCGGTTCGGCATCCCCTTGATTATGAGTACATACAGTAAAATAACTCAGAAGACAGATACATGGAATAGATACATTAGCCCTTGCCTCACACCTATCCCTTCCGACGCCCACTTGGAATTGAGGTTCGCAAAGTGACGAAACTATTTAAAGCGCCAGGCTGCATCCAACCCCCCCCCCCAGGTGCCTTTCCCCCCTCCACTGACTGCCTTCTGCGATTTTACCCCTCCATCCTCCCGTGAACCCCACTTGGATTCCCTTTACCTGCTTTTGCTGCCCTTGTCTTTAAAGCAGTAGCTTCCCTCAGCTTCCTTATCTGCAATTCTTTCCCACCAACATCACCAAACACACAAATACCAACCACATCACAAATCACACAAAATGGGTGTTACCAAGACGACTCACCAGGCCGGATCCGGCGCCATCCCCAAGCCCGGCCAGACTGTCACCATTGAGTACACTGGCTTCCTCAAGGATACCTCCAAGCCTGACAACAAGGGCAGCAAGTAAGCGACACTTTCCCTACACCGCCCATCACAATTCTTGTTGGACGTCATGCTAACGAGTCCCCCAATTGCCAGGTTCGACTCCTCCGTCGGCCGCGGCGACTTCGTCACCAGAATTGGTGTCGGCCAGGTCATCAAGGGTACGTCTGCTCCGAGACACCCCGCGGAGCCCCTCTCTGCGTCCTTCCCTCCCTTCTCCCCCTCGAGCTTCCTCCAATAGATATACCAGCTGGCAATGCGGAACTGGCTGTTTACTGACACACGATCGCAGGCTGGGATGAGGGTGTCACCCAGATGAACGTTGGCGAGAAGGCCACTCTCGACATCACCAGGTAAGGAACCTTTTCCGCCCTACAATCTCTGTTTCGGGGCAATGGACTGGCTTTGTACAGCTGGATCCGATATGACAATGAACATGGCTAACGCATTTAACAGTGACTTTGCCTACGGCGAGCGGTAAGCACTACTCGCTACCAGCGGTGCCATGCAAGGCATCTGCTGTTCTTTGACGACCAATTGATCTAATCCTGTAATCCAACAGCGGCTTCACCGGCCACATTCCCCCCAACGCCGACCTCATCTTGTAAGTTTGGATCCTGCAGGAGACCTTGCCAACCCAGCACTCTGCATCAACGAACACATTGCTGACCGAGTCCTACAGCGACGTTGAGTTGAAGAAGGTCCAGTAAAGCATCGAAGCTTTGCTTCGTTTCGCGCAAGTGGTTAGTTGGAGAGACGATACAAAGTTGACACACCCGGCCTATTTTACAGGATGGGTGGATAGTACAGTTCCTGTAGGGACTAGAAACATGCTTCGGCCCAAATATACTCTCTTCAACTGCCGCATAACAATGCTTTCGACTGGATTCCCGTGTGGTGACTTACGTGTAGCTGCCGGATCGTATGCGCGATGTCCGGGTCTAAAAGGAGCCCACGTCACACGGCATGCTGTGATGGTGATACGCGTACTCATGTGACCTATCTTCCTCCTGTACCATCATCAAGTCTTCCCGGCGGACCTCCCATCGTAATCTTTTTTGAGTACTCATCCGGCTGCTATGGAGTGCTCTCGCAAATGCATGCTCTGAAAACTAGGACACAGTCTGCGCACAGAAGCACTCGTGTTCGCGGCTTCGGTGAAGAGAAGTCTTGAAACATAATGTTCGTCATTCTCCGCGTAGAGTGAACTTTTTGGCATTAAAAAAGTCGGATTGGTGATCATCAATGCTCTGACTTACGATTTAGGAGCCCATCGGGTCTATTTGATTTGGTGGGCGATGTGGTTGATTTTGTTTGCTATTTTATTCACTGCGTTAATTCTCACCATCATTGAACTTCCAATCCTCCCCATTCCATAATCAACTTTCTTGAACAATTTAACGTCAATGCTGTATAGCTATTCATAGTCCTGAAAACAATAAAAACAGCCTATACATCTCGAGATCTCCCCCTCAAACATACAGCCAAGCTTGGGAAACATCGCCAAACCAACTCCAAATGGTGGTGGAACTCGGTAGATTCTCGGAGAAGACGACATACAGTGCCTAGATACAGTGCGAACCAAGCACCAAGCTCTGCTACATCTTCGCAGCCTTGAAGCCAGGGGATCTTGATGTACACACAGTGCATTCATGACACATGGCTTCACCAGAGCTGAGGCTGTCTTGGGCACCTCAGTCCTCGCCGAATGCATTGAGGGGCAATGTTTAGAAATCGCCCAGTGGAGCTTTCCTTTACCTCACGGCGTGACTGCCACTGCCAACCTAACCTGCATCGCCCGCCTTACGTGAGGTAACCCAGGCGCACCCCTGCCCCTCGTTGACACCTCCACATCCGGGCTCCACGACCACCTTTACATCACCGGAAACGAGGCTGCTCTTGCTCCTGCACAACCACCATCAACTGCAACTACGACACTTCTTTTGCCTGGTGCACTTTTCCTACCTCTCTACGAAACGCAGCGAAAGTCTCTCCTTGACGAACGACGAGACAGCCAGACTGCTGGTTCCACGATACGAGCACACTACACGAACACACGCCTTTGTTTGGTGGGGTTGGAAGCTTCATCGTCCCACCCGCCCGTGTTTCCCTCCACGTCATAGCAAACGACGTTCCGGTCCGGCATCGTCAAGCTGGGGAAGCGCAAACTCTCCAACGGGGAGACACCTGATCCCAACAAGAAAACCATGGCTGTACGTTGTTTGAGTCTACGTACCCCGCATCGCGACGCTGACCTTTGACGTCTCCAGGATAAGAAGCTACCAGAGGTCGACCTGGTGACCCGCATGCAGGTCGACGACTCCGTCGTCGGAACCACCGAGATCGATGAGTCGCTCTACAGTCGCCAGCTCTATGTGCTGGGCCACGAGGCCATGAAGCGCATGGGCGCTTCCAACGTCCTCATTGTCGGTCTCAAGGGCCTGGGTGTCGAGATCGCCAAGAACATTGCCCTTGCCGGCGTCAAGAGCCTCACCCTCTACGATCCCGGCCTGGTCGCCCTCGCCGATCTGTCTTCACAGTTCTTCCTGCACCCCGAGGACGTGGGCAAGCCGAGAGACGAGGTCACCGCCCCGAGAGTCGCCGAGTTGAACGCATACACCCCCGTCAAGGTCCACCAGTCGTCAAGGTGAGTTTAGAAGCCCTCCCACGAGGCAACGCTAACAAATACAGCCTGGGCGAGAACCTCTCCCAGTTTGACAAGTACCAGGTCGTCGTCCTGACCAGTCTCCCGCTGAAGCTGCAGGCGCTGATTGGCGACTACTGCCACTCCAAGGGCATCTACGTTGTCGCCGCCGATACCTTTGGTCTTTTCGGTTCGATTTTCTGCGATTTCGGCGCCGACTTCACCGTCATCGACCCCACCGGCGAGGCCCCCTTGACCGGCATCCTCGCGGGTATCGACGAGGAGGGCCTGGTTTCGGCTCTCGACGAGACCCGCCACGGCCTCGAGGACGGCGACTATGTCACGTTTTCGGAAATCGAGGGCATGGAGAAGCTCAACGGAGGCGAGCCGCGCAAGATTACAGTCAAGGGCCCGTATACCTTTTCAATCGGCGACGTCTCCGGCCTCGGCCAGTACGTCCGCGGAGGTCTCTACCAGCAGGTCAAGATGCCCAAGAAGATCAACTTCAAGAGCTTCTCTGCCGCCCTCAAGGAGCCCGAGTTTATGATTTCAGACTTTGCAAAGTTTGACCGCCCCCAGCAGCTTCACCTTGGTTTCCAGGCCCTGCACGCCTTTGTGGAGAGCCAGGGCCGTTTCCCGAACCCCTTGGACGACACGGATGCGACGGTGATTCTGCGCTCCGCTGAGGCGTTTGCCAAGGCCGAGGGTGTCGAGGTTGAATTCGACGAGAAGCTCCTCAAGGAGCTGAGTTACCAGTCCCTTGGTGACCTGAACGCCATGGCCGCCCTGTTTGGTGGTATCACGGCGCAGGAAATCCTCAAGGCCGTCTCGGGCAAGTTCCAGCCCATCCAGCAGTGGATGTACTTTGACTCGCTCGAGTCTCTGCCGACTAGCACCGCCCGCACCGCCGAGCTCTGCAAGCCCCTCGGCACCCGCTACGACGGCCAGATTGTTGTCTTTGGCCGCGAGTACCAGGAGAAGATTGCCAACCTGCGGCAGTTCCTCGTGGGTGCCGGTGCCATTGGTTGCGAGATGCTCAAGAACTGGGCCATGATTGGTCTCGGAACAGGCCCCAAGGGTCAAATCACCGTCACCGACATGGACTCTATCGAGAAGAGCAACCTGAACCGTCAATTCCTGTTCCGCCCCAAGGATGTCGGTAAAATGAAGAGCGACTGCGCTGCCGAGGCCGTGCAAGCGATGAACCCCGATCTGAACGGCCATATTGTGTGCCTCAAGGATCGCGTTAGTCCCGAGACCGAGGAGACATTCAACGAGGAGTTCTGGGGCAACCTCGACGGCGTCACCAACGCGCTGGACAACGTCGAGGCCAGAACATACGTCGATCGCCGCTGTGTCTTCTTCCGCAAGCCCCTCCTCGAGAGTGGCACGCTCGGAACCAAGGGCAACACCCAGGTCGTTCTCCCCCATCTTACCGAGTCGTACTCGTCGTCGCAGGATCCTCCTGAAAAGGAGTTCCCCATGTGCACTGTGAAGAGTTTCCCCAACAAAATTGAGCACACCATTGCGTGGTCCAAGGACCACATGTTTGAGAATCTTTTCGTCACGTCCCCTTCCACGGTCAACCTGTACTTGACGCAGCCCAACTACATTGAGGGCACGTTGAAGCAGGGTGGAAGCGCCAAGCTGACGTTGGAGACGCTCCGCGACTACCTTACCACCGACCGCCCGCGGACCTTTGAGGACTGTGTCGCCTGGGCGCGCATTCTCTTCGAGAAGGAGTTCAACAACAAGATTCAGCAGCTCCTGCACAACTTCCCCAAGGACTCGACGACGTCGACCGGCACCCCCTTCTGGTCTGGTCCCAAGCGCGCCCCTGAGCCGCTCAAGTTCGACCCCAACGACCCTACACACTTTGCCTTTGTCGTCGCGGCCGCGAACCTGCACGCCTTCAACTACAACATCAAGTCGCCCGGCACCTCCAAGGACATTTACCTGCGCGAGCTCGAGAACATCATCGTGCCCGAGTTCTCACCCGCCGAGGGTGTCAAGATCCAGGCCAACGACAGCGATCCTGTGAGTTGCGCAGTCTATGGAGTACACGGAAAATGCTAACATGACTTAGGACCCCAACGCCGACGCGGGCAGCTCCTTTGACGACAACGACGAGCTGCAGAAGCTCATCAACAGCCTCCCTTCGCCTAACGAGCTTGCCGGCTTCCAGCTGCAGCCTGTGGACTTTGAAAAGGACGACGACTCGAACCACCACATTGACTTCATCACGGCCTGCAGTAACCTGCGCGCCGCCAACTACAAGATTGAGCAGGCGGACCGCCACAAGACCAAGTTCATTGCCGGCAAGATCATCCCGGCGATTGCGACGACAACGGCGCTCGTCACGGGCCTGGTGATTTTGGAGCTGTACAAGGTCATTGACGGCAAGGATGACATTGAGCAGTACAAGAACGGTTTCATCAATCTGGCGCTGCCCTTCTTCGGCTTCAGCGAGCCCATTGCCAGCCCCAAAGTGGAGTTCAAGGGCCCCAACGGCACCGTCAAGCTGGACAAGATCTGGGACCGTTTTGAGGTCAACGACATCACACTCAAGGAGCTGTTGGAGCATTTTGAGAAGCAGGGCCTGACCATCTCGATGCTTAGCTCCGGCGTCAGCTTGCTCTACGCCAGCTTCTTCCCTCCGGCCAAGCTCAAAGACCGCCAGAACCTCAAGCTGAGCCAGCTCGTCGAGACGGTGTCCAAAAAGCCCGTCCCGGCTCACCAGAAGGAGGTCATTTTCGAGATGGTGGCCGAGGACATGGACGGAGAGGACGTGGAGGTTCCCTACATCAAGATGAAGATGGCGTAAGCGGGGCCGTGGTTGAACTTGACGATATCTGCCGGGATTAAGGCTAGAGCGCTGCAGGGTTTTAGAATGGCCAGCAATTATGGTCAGCCAAATAGGCAATAGGATCATGGAATAGAGCTCTTCACTTGTTACTGTGTTTATTGTGATGTATTCGTACCAAGGGGTGCATGTGCCTGTGTTACTAAGCCCACAGCCGCTAACGCAGACATTTGTAAGCACCCCTGCCGCTGGCGGCTCAGCGTGGGGAAGCGCTGGGTTTACGTCACCATTAGCAATTGCTTAGAATCGTCAAGCTGCCTTAGCTTACCTTAGCCGCGGGGTCTGCGAGTCAACATTGTAAGCTGCATTTACAGATTGGAAGAGTCTTTGGGAGAATTGCACAAGAAATTAGCTAGATAGATCCACTGCTTTGGGAGTGATCTTTGGGAAGTGGATTGCCCGCGCGGTTGATCGAGTCTCGTGGTATTGCCTCTGTCCAGCTTATCCTTATCAAGATTGTTTGCGTATAATAAGCCCATCCGCCCACACCCCGCTTCTTCAACTCCAGCTCCGACGACAAAGTGATTCATGAACACCGGTACCCCTGCACTCACTCGTCTCGCGAGGTCTCTCACGTCGACGACACGAAGGACACCTCGCTTACAGATACATCAATCCACCCGCGCCTTCTTATCCGTCTCGAGTTTTGGAGTAGGAAGAAACGTGCCTGTAAAGTACCACACGAGCGCTACGCAGAAAGCATCAACCAAAATGGTGTGTATACGCCTTGTTCCCTTTGACAATTCGAGTCTGGGATTCGAGGATAGCGAGAGAGGAAGGGCTGAGAAGAACGACAATGAGGCTGACCACGATCCCGCAGGCCGGCAAAGTCACAGACTGGGTGAAGCCCAACGACAAGTCGGGCGAGTTCAAGCGCCAGCAGAGCTCGTTCCGCAACTTCATCTCGCGCGAGGAGGGGGCCAAGTTTGCGCCTGAAAAGGGGCGGTATCATCTCTACGTCAGCTATGCGTGTCCTTGGGTGAGTTTTTTCCCCATGCTTCGTCCCCTTCCCTTATTTCTCTCGCCCACTCCACCGACGAGAATACGAGAAAAAGAAAGACAAGTAGATTTTGACGTGTATATAGGCTTGCCGGACGTTGATTACGCGCCAACTTAAGGGTCTTGAGGACTTTATTAGCTATTCTGTTGTTCATTGGCACCTCGGCGAGAAGGGTATGTGGTCAACTCTTCGTGCCCCTCTCATCCTCGTCCCCGAGACCGGAAACACACATCCAAGCTTCGCGTTGGCAGAAATGAAGGGTAAAAAAAAAACCCAGTGAGCCAGACGACTAACAACACACAGGCTGGCGCTTCGTCGCAAAAGACGAAAAGGACGTCCCCGGAGCCCACGTCGTCCCCGACCCCGTCCCGGGCCACGAGTCCTACACCCACCTCCGCGACCTCTACTTCGAGTCGGAGCCCGAGTACGACGGCCGCTTCACCGTGCCCGTCCTCTACGACACCAAGCTCAAGACGATTGTGAGCAACGAGAGCAGCGAGATCATCCGCATGCTCTACACAGAGGTATGTCGCCCGAGCCGTCACCCACCGCCCATCATCCATTCTGTGACCCATGGACTATCGTCAAGAGAGTAGCACTAACATACCCTAGTTTGACGACCTCATTGACGAAGAATTCCGCACCATCAACCCCTACCCGGAACCCCTCCGCGCCCAAATAGACGAGGCAAACGAGTGGACGTACGACAAGATCAACAACGGCGTCTACAAGTCCGGCTTCGCCACCACGCAGGAAGCCTACGAGCGCAACGTCACCGCCCTGTTTGAGGCGCTCGACAAGACAGAGGCGCACCTCCAGACCACGGCGGCCGAGGGGCCGTATTACTTTGGCAAGGAGATTACCGAGGCCGATATCAGGCTGTGAGTGCATTCGTCTCTCCTCGTTGGAAGTGTGTCGCTAATGAAGGGGTATAGTTACGTGACGATTATTCGGTTTGATGTAAGTGCCTCCTCGTCTCTTTTCCCATCCCGGACCTCATATGTATCATCTGGTGCACCCCTAACATACAACAGCCCGTCTACGTGCAGCACTTCAAGTGCAACATCCGCGACATCCGCTCCGGGTACCCCCATATCCACAAATGGATGCGCAACCTGTACTGGAATGTGCCGGCCTTCAAGGACACGACCCAGTTCGAGCACATCAAGTGGCACTACACAAAGAGCCACACCCAGATCAACCCCTTCTCCATCAGCCCCGTCGGCCCTCTGCCGCACATTCTGCCTCTGGACGAAGAGATGCCGGCCGTTAGCAAATAGTCACATGATAAAAAAGTCTTCAGTAATAATGCTGTATATACTCTGACACGAATGCTAAAACTCCAATCATCCGCCATGCGGTGTCCCAAACCAAAGATACAACATCTGGCTGCCCGGGCGACTTGATCCAGTATTATGCTAAATTCCATTTTATATATCAAAAGTAACATGCTCCTCCCGGGCCCCCAGTCAAACAAAAATGAGATCCGTCAACTTGCGAGTTGGTCTTTTTAGTGTCCCCATATCCACGAAATGATGCATTAAATTAGGTATAGATTGATCACAATTGGCCAGACAAGAGTGCCTCGGTTGCTGTGACAAGTTAGCAAATGCGTAAACTAATGACGAAAGCAAAACATACCACTGTTGATGTACTGGCGCTTGGCATCGAGGGGCACGCCGAAGCGGCGCTCCAGCTCCTGCTTGATACCCTTCTTCGTGACGGTCATCAGGTCGGCCGTGCGCAAAATCTCGCGGATCTCGGCCAGGAGGGCGTCGTCGCTGGGCAGGCCAACCATGTCCTCGGGAGAAAAGAACTGCGAGCCGCCAAACTGGCTGTTGCGGTTGCCGCCAGCGTCCGAGGCGGCGAGAGACATGCGCGAGTGGTTGCGCTGCTCGTAGCCCATGCCGGGGGCTCGCGGGGGTGCGTAGCCGCCGGCAATGGAGCCGGGGCGGCTGTGGTAGCCGTACTCGGAGACGGGGACCTGGCCCTTGGTGGCGTAGCTGTAGCCAGACACCTCGGAGCGGGCGTCCTCCTTGACCGTCTGGGCGTCCCAGAGCTCGGCCTGATACTCCTCCCACTTCTTCTTGGGGATGACGGAGGGATCGAACTTGCCCTCGTCGGAGATGACAATCTTCTTGCCAGCCTCGCCGGCAATGACACGGGTGTTACCCCAGTTGAAGTCGTCCATGTGCCAGAAAGCGTACAGAGGCAGGGCGAAACTGAAGACGGGAATGGCCAGGATGTACAGAATCATCCAACCAATCATCTCCCACTTGCGGCGAACGATAAAGATGATGGCCTGCAGACCGTAAATGGCACCAAGCATGATGAAAGCCGTGACGGGCACCGTACTGGGGTTCAGGGCGACGGTAACAATCAGGTAGATGATGTAGGCGACGACGACGGGTTGGACGACGGTGGACAGCAAGTCGACAAACACGATGAAACGCATGGAGAAACAGCAGAAACCGCAGAGCTGGGACATGGGGATGAGCTCCATGAGGTTGTGGACGGTCGAGTTGATCCAGCGACGTCTCTGCGAGAGGAAGACGGACCAGGAGTCGGGCGCAATGGTGTAGGCGTGGGCTCTGTTGGTGTACTTTGTCTTGTACGAGTTGTGGAACTTGAGCAGCAGCGTCGTCAGGTATCGGTCCTCACCGAGGTGGAGCAGATTCTTCATGTGCAGCGTGTCGACACGGATGGTTGAGTAGGCTTCGACGACTTCGCGGCTGACAAAGAGGGGCTTTCCACTCTCGGAAGCGCGGATGCGGTACATGGAGAAACAACCGGGCAAACAGGTGACACTGCCAAACAGACTCTCAAAGGCCTTTGTTAGATTGTGAGAAATCCAGTACTCGTAGACCTGAATCATGGTGACGAACGAGGCCTTTGCGTTGGTCAGCGCCGTCTCACCACACACGGCAATGAGACGGGTGTCGTTCAAAAAGGCGGCGACCATGCGGGTAGCGGAATCGGGTGCGACGACGGTATCGGCATCGATCTGGAACATGAACTCGTAGAACGTCGGGTTGACACCGATAATATTGCGGATTTGATGGTACATTTCGAGCTCAAGAGGGCTCATTGCCAGGTTGTAGTGGACGCGGTTGAGGAAACGCATAATGACCATTTGGGAATCACGCTTGCCACGGTTACCGGGGCGGGACACCTCGGACGGCTTGCCAATCTTGACGACAACCATGAATGGAACAATGTGGCCCTGGACTTCGTACAGACCCGAGTAGATCTTGCCCATGTTGTGCTGCTTCTGACCTTCGCCGAGAGACTCGAAGCTGAGGGGTTCGGGATCGACGGTATCAGATACGCCCAAAATGTCGAGCACAATGCGCGGCGTCGGCTTGTCGTTACCCTGTCCGATAATCATACCGTCGCAGATGACAACGAGAAGCTTGCGCTTATCATCGTAGTGCATTCTAGCCACGGAGTCAATGGCACGGCGAAGAGCCTCCTCGTCTTCCGTGTAAGCGGGAATCTGGCACATGACAAACTTGTCGAGGTTCTCCGGCACGTTCTTGCCGCCGAATTGCAGCGCGGCCAGGAACTTGAAACCGATAATGGCGCAGAGGATGATGGAGATGACGAGGACGAGATACGTGGCAAACTGGCAACGGACCGAATTACGCGTGTCGACGTCGCCGACGTAAAACAAGTTGTCGAGACACGTCTTCATGCGCTTCTTGGCGGCGGTGTCGAGAGACAGCTTCTCCCAAAGGTCCGTGAGATCTGTACCCGACTTGCCCTGGAACAGCTGCACGACGGCGTCATCCATGAAGCTGGTGAGGGAGGAGTCGTCGGGAACCGACTCGCCCGCCTTGGCTTGCATCTTGAGACCACCATTCATGTACTGGGTCAAGTCGTACACGCGGCCGCCCATGTAGGCAATGTTCTGCTGCTTGTTGGCGAGCGTCTTGACGTACTGGGGCGAGTATCCGACGGTTCCCTTCTTGTAGTTGGACTTGAGCATAATCATCTGCTCGTAGTACCAATCGGGACGGCTGTCGTTGGTGAAGTAGCGGAAGTCGTGGTACTTGAAGTTGAGGTCGGTCGTCGTGAGCTGCGCGGAGCCCGTCAGGTTGGTGTTGCGGTAGTCCAGCGTGACGTGGGGATCGACGGAGCCGTCCTTGCCCTGGCACAAAGCGTTGACCTGGACGGGGAACAGAGTGCTGATGTCCTTGCCGGCGTAGGCCTTGAGCTGCTTGTTGGTAACGTACGGCGGGTAGTGGCGAGGAGCGTAGGCGCCCAGGTCAACGACCACGCCGCGAATGGCGACGTAGGCCGAGGCGTCGTCCACGCCGTCGTTGGAGGACAGTTCCTCGGCGCTGTAGACGTGTTGGGTGGGGCAGATGACCTTGGGGAACAGCATGATGAAGAAGGCGGCAAAGAGACAGAACAGCCAGATGAGCATGTTGATGGCGAACTTTTCTCTCCATGCCACGCGAATGTCCTTGCGGGGCATGCGGCCCATCTTGCGGATGGCAATGTCCGGGACGAACCAGGTCATGAGGTAGACCATGAACACCCATCGCTTACGGCTGGGGCTGTCCTTGAACTCCTCAACCTCTTCGAGGTTTTTCTCGTTGCCGCGCTCAGCCATCTGCTCTCGGGTGTCGAGGTTCTTGAACATGTCACCACCGCCAAACGCGGACACGCCGGCTTCCGATCGGGCATCGGATCCGTCCTGGCCGCCAAAGTAGCCGTTCTTGCCCTTCTCGCCGTACAGAAGAGGAGTGCCTCCGGCGGAGAGCAGGCGCTCCTTGGAGGCGGCAAAGGGGGTGTCCTGGGGAGTCATGCCGTCGCCGTTGTCGGACGGCAGGGCGTAGCGGCCGGTGGCAGAGGCGCCATCCGACAGCTGGGCAACCTCCATCCAGCATCTCTCGCTGAGGAAGACACCGGTCGATCCGATCCTGACCTCGTTGGCTGGCCAGTGCCTGTCTTCGACGACGAGCTCGACGCGCTCCCTCTCGGTGCCGACGAGGATGGTATCGGAGTCGGCGAGACCGAGGAACTCGCCAAAGGGGAGGAACAAACTGAAATCTGCCGAACGCAGGCGCTGGCTGATTTCGGCAATACCAAACGTCTGCACCTGAGTGCGGACGCACTTGCTGTCAAACTGGTTGGCAATGCGTCTGTCATTGGGCTTTAGGCAGAAGACAAAGTAGGAGTTGCTGCTGGGGTCGGCAACAGACTTGGTGACGTTGTCGAGAGACGCAAGGAATTGACCAGAGGCGCCCTGCTCGGAAGCCTGCAGCTTGTTGCCCCCAGACTGCGAGTTACCCTCGCTGAGTCTGTCCAGCTCGTCCTGTGCAGCCTCCTCCTGCTGCTGCTCGTACTGCTGGATCCTGCGCTGGTTGCGAGCGGTCCTGGTGGTCTTGCGGGACATGACACTAGGCGCTCTCGTAGGCTTGGAGCTAATGGTGGCCTGCATGACCGTCGACCGCTCCTTGGGGTGGGTGACGGTCTTGAGGGCCTCCTGGCCAAAGAGCCGGGCGACGAACTCGCTCTTGGTCGAGTTGATCATGTTGAGCAAGTCACCGGAAATGACCTCGCCGTTCTCCTCGATAATGTCCTTGACGGGGTAGTCGACCTCGCCGGCAAAGTGCTTGACGGTGAAGAGGGCATTGGTGTTCTCGGTGTAGAAGTTGCTTCCGGGCAGTCTGGTGTTGGCAGAGCCGGGGGTGATGGCCGGGTTCTTGCCCTCGAAGCGCTTGCGCAGACTCTCGAGGAACTGCACGTCGGTGCGGTTTCTGCGCGTCTGGTCGTCCAGGATGCTGAGCAAGCCGTTTCCAGGCTTGAGCAGACCCCTGACGGCGTCCGAGTTGTCAAAGTAGCTCGTGGCCGCCACGCTGACCTCCTCGTTCTCCAGCATGTCTGCCTTGCGGTCGAAGAAGTTTTGCAGGGTGAGGTTGTAGAGGGCCTCGCAGGCGGCGTTGTTGAGCAGCTGGTCGAGCGCCGAGTGGGTCGACGCTTGCTGGGCGAAGCCGGGGAAATCAATAATCGAAATGGTGTTCGCGACGCTGTCATCGGGCGCGCAGATTCTCTGGTTGATGGACTCGACAATATAGGCAACCAAGAGCGAATACAGAGTGCGGGCGAGCTCGTTGGCGTGCGAGCGGGCGCCGACGGGGTCCAGCATGACGGTGACTCTCTCCTTGTGAATCATCTTGGTCTTGTACGAGAGAGTGGTCTGCAAGTCCTGGGAGCTGACGCCCAAGAAGGCGGCGACAATGGTGAGCACATCCTTGTTCTTGACGGCCGTGACGGTCTGGGCACCCT